GTTTTCTTCCAGCCCCATTCTTCAGCATCTTTGGTACAACCAGACCAATGCTGAACCTGGTGGTAAGTTCGCAATGAATGGTGTCCAGCATGCTAATTATTCATAAATTAATGAGCGAATTAATGATACGCCACTGTTTCATGACAAAATTGAAGAAACTAAACTAAAACTAGTTTTAGTGAACCCTAATCGACATTTGATTTCGGAAAATCGACTATAAATAGATATATCATACTTTACGCAAAATTGTAAAATTTCCAGGGATTTTGTGCCTAAATGGTTGACTTTAACGAACATTTTCATAGAACCTTTTTTATAGGAAATTTTATTCTCTTTTTTGCTCCCTTCAAATTTTTGCTAAAAACGCATAGTTTTCGAAATATTTACAAAATACCGATTTTGGGCGCCATCTTGGCAAGATGGCGGCGCCGGCGGCAAGTCTGGAAATGTGCATTTTATGGATTTTAGTTAGGGACCCCAGAACCTATAAACCTGCAAAGTTTCAAAACTTCCGGACTTTTTTGATCCCCAATGACTAAACTACTTATATTATAATAGATGAAATTTCAAATTTCAATTTCTGAGGTGAACTTCTTAGAAGTAATTTTATCTACAATGTAATTTTTCAGCTTAAAACAGCTTTTTCGCGCATAGTTTTTAGGACAAAGACCACTAACTTCTTAATGTGATTTTTTGACCGCCAAGTCTGGGCATGTGCATTTTATGGATTTTAGTTAGGGACTCCAAAACCTATAAACCTGCAAAGTTTCAAAACTTCCGGACTTTTTTCCAAACCTTTTTTGATCCCCAATGACTGAACTATATATTAGACATTGTCTAATAGACAACAAGACATTGCAACCGAAGGATAGTAAGTTTTGTCCATCATGCAATAGCAAATAATTCATCCAAACAAATGACATCTAAAGAATGTAATTGGTTTTGTCTAACATTTATTCTGTATTCCATCAAATTTATCTTTGTAGGTAAATAAAACATTTAAACATCCCTACATGCTCGAAATTCAAAGAAATGACATTTGTTTATGCCGTATTCAGAATAATTGTTTACTATTTCGATGTTCTTTGCATTGTTTTCTTTACGTAAAGAAAGAGCTTGGAGATTACTTGGGGTTTTATGTAATATAATCGATGGATTGAGTAAATAAAAATAGAATAAGTATCTTCTTTTATGGACAGTTATAATATATATCCAGGGAGATGTCGCCCACATTAATTTCCGTTTTGGGAATTTTAAACGTCCATGAGGAAGGTAAATATGTTTACCTTAGTTTGGAAATAGTTTAATGTAGGAGTGTATTAGTAGAACAAGTATTTCTCAAGCAAACAATTAATAGATTTCTTCATTCAGGTGCCCTCTAGTGATACTAATGAAAGGTTCGAGTCCTTAGAAAAGAGTATTGACTCCCTCTTCGTATAAGTATCCTGCAATTGATTGCATTTGCTACCCACATGTTCTGATTTTTAGAATAAAGTCGCACTTAACATTAGAACATTAGAACAGTAATATATTCTCACAATGAAGTTATATTGGCTCTCAAACCGTTAAAAGCTTTTTTGTTTAGAGTAAAATCATGAAATATGCTTTTATCCAGATAGAACTCATTTTTTATCTTGAAGACGTACCTATACCTACATCGTTTGTTATACAAGGTGTCCCAGAAATAAGTGCAAGTATTTTAACTGGTTAGGTTAGGTTAGTTAGTATAGTTTAACCCCAGAAACACGCCTATGAGGTTTTTTTCGCGAAATTTTAAGCTATAGATATATAAATTATAGCGGTAAAATATAAACAAGATGAGAATATTATTTAGTGACATTTTTTCGGTGTTTATTAATTTTAATTGATCCGCAAGTCCATGTTGATGACGTTCAAATTATTTATAGTTAACCTCATTCTGAGAGAGGCGCTTCATAAATGATTCTTGAAAGAATAATTTGTACCCACTTGTACAATTATGGTACCAAGTTCAACATATCGTGCACTATATTAGTTAAAGATTCGAATTCAAGATTCGATTGATGAGCACTGTTTGAAACGTTAATAAGAAAAAGAGAGATTTCGCAAATAATTTAGTTTCTAAAAATAATTATAAATTATAATTCAAACAAACGTAAAACATTTTATATATCCAAGCAAGCAATATAAAATTACACAAAATGCACGTTTGTGTTAAGTTTTTAAAATAATATCTGCTACAGCGGGAACTATACATCAATGAAGTATCGTTTATCAAACAAATATAAAAAAAATATCCTCTTTTATTACATGTTTACTGTTTCGATAAAAAAATAAAGTAGGTATAAGTACTTTGTTAATCATATATTACGAGTATATTCTGTAAAAAAATGTCTATACCTCTGTGTGGCGGATTCATCTCTCCAAAATTTCGCCACTGTAAAAAGATCTACAAAATTAAATATATATTCTGTAGTACACACAAATATAGAAAATTTAGTTATACTAGTTACCAATAAAAATCATTACCTGAAACTTTAACTCACAAGACAGCAACCCAATTCGTACGCCCATCTTAATACATGAAACAACCTTTTCATAATGTACCAACTCAATCAAATATTACAGCTGATTTTGCGCAGTTTATTTCTAATGAACAGGTACTCCTATTTAGCTCTTATGATCAAAAAATATAATACATTTGAACTATAATAAATATTAATCAAAATATCAGCTTGTACGTAGAAGAAATCCAACCAGTCTATATTTGAATAATCTCATGCATTTTTATCTTACATATTCTAATTAACTAGAGAAAATATAGTCATGTTACTTCATCTTATAAACGAATCATATATTCTTTGATGGTACCTTCTCTAAAACTTCTAGAGAAAATATTAAACAAGAGGAAGTTCAGTTCAATCTACCAATCCGAATCAACCTCTTGCGGGGTCAGAGTGATTCAACATTTGAAATTAATTGATCCTCAATAACCTACCGTTCTGTTTTCCAAGCGGAAACCAACTAAAGGCGGAACTGAGGAACCTGGAAAACTCCATCCGTAACCTGGAATGGGAGTCCTGCAACGGTCTCGAAAAACACTCGAAAAAGCTCCTCAGAACTTACGACCGAGAAAAATAAAAAATTTTCCTTGATTTAAGTAAAAACAATCTTCGAGTTATCACGGGGTTTCTAACAGGACACTGTCTCCTCAACCAACACCTCAGTAGGCTGAAGCCGAGAAACAACGGCGAATGCAGATTCTGTGGGTAAAATGGGGAAACACCGGAACACCATATCACTGAGTGTGCTGAGACTACGACCGTTCGTGCCATGAACTTTGGTACCTACTGCTGATGTCGAGGATGGAGAGCTGGCCTCTGTGGAGCCGTCTCAGATACTGCTTTTTGTTAAAGATGATTAGTTAAGAGACTCGTTATAACTCAAGAAAGGGGAACACACAATAGATCTCTAAGGTCGCTATGATAACTCCCCTCCTAAACATTCTACATTCTAAAAGTTTACCTATGCCTAACTTTTAAGTTCTTTCGATGCCGTACTCTATTTTATACAATTTATTTCTTACTGAATTAATATAAACTTATATCTTCTTGGTTGCCCTAACCATAAATAGTCATAACTCCTTTAGGACATTATTAACGGGAATTAAGATGCCATAATTCCCTCCACCATTTATACGAACAACCATGAAACAATAGAAATTTTGAATAATAACACAGATATCATAATATAATCTTATTTTATTATATGTTATCTGATTATATGTGTGTGCTAGTACTGCCAGGCTACACCATGTGGCATCTGTTTCCATTTTTTAACATAAAGTTAACAATTCTTTAATGTACCTATTCTCTGGTGAAGCCTATCCTGAAAAGACCTCATGCTAGGCCTTGGATTATATTGTGGTTATAGTGAATTTTAGTGCACATGTGCAACATGCAATTGTTTCAACTACGTTTGTTGAGTTTGTTCCTAAAAATATATTTAGGACCTATTTACCCTAGGTACTTTATTGCCACTGATATTAATAAAGCAGAAATCAAGTTAGTAAAGCAGAAAAAAGTTAGTTAAATTTTTTTAAGACCACTTCGCGCTCTGGCTTATTTTGTTTATTACTCCTTCCCTGGTCTTTTTATTCAATCTATGAAGTTATCCAAATTATAATTGTTACTACAACTTTCGGCACAGATAAAATCATGGTAAAGATTCTCATCTGTTTAGTGGGTTATTATTTGCCCTTACAAAAGTAAAAATTGGCACTCCTAATAAGCAAGTAAACATTATTGGAGCGTGGCATCAGGGCATAATGTATTTTTTTAATGTAATAAACTACTGTAATAATTTTTATTACCATGCTAGGAAAACAGTTTTCAGCCACTGAAGGTATTTTTTACATTCCTTTTGGTAAATGGATTCAATTTTAGGTGAAAGTAATGCTTGTCGCTTTTAGATTAAGATTTTCTTGATATTTCCTCCATTTTAATGAAAACATACTCGAACGTGTGCCGAATTCGTGCGAAAGGCATTTTTCTGGACAAAAAACTGAAGTCGATTGACAACAAATCGTCAAATTATGAATAGGTCTAAATAGGCCATTTAATACAATAGTAACCTGGCAACAAACAAAATTCCTACCAGCAGCTTTAATACAAAATATACCGGAAGTTAATAAATGTAACATTTGTGTCGTTTTAAAATAGGACAAAATATAATAAATTCAGTAAAAAATAAAATTAACTATGTACCACGGGAATTATGGAGCGTTAATAACCCCGGGCAATTATTGTCCCTCGGGACAGAAACTTTGCCCCCGGTAATTAAACTTATAATTCCTTCATACATAAATAACTATTTTGCTCTTAAAATCACACATAAATTTATTAAATTGATGATAAATAACACATAGTTTTTCATGCATGCTTCATCTACGTTACCGTAGATGGAGCTCAAAGCTTGGTAGGATTCGTATAAAATAAACATGGCATATTTTTTTATTTCAGGAAAGATCATGGAGACAATTTTCCCTTCGACGGAAGGGGAATTATTCTTGCTCATGCCTTTTTTCCAACGGGTCAGGAAGGGGTCAGTGTGGACGTGCATTTTGACGCTGACGAAAACTGGACCACGTCAGGCAGTAGCGACTTAGGTAAATAAAAATGAAAGAGAACGTAATAATATACCGTTACTTGAAAAGAATTCTACATTTTTCGCCACTGGAAGATTTTCAAAATAAAAAATACAACTATTGAAGAACTCTTATACTGGAAATTTTTTTCCAGTGGCCAAAAACCCAAAGTTCTTCTCAAGAAGTAAACCAGCCCTACAGGTATAGACATAATATACAGGGTGTCCCAGGCTGGGCGTGCATTAGAAGTTTCTAGAGAACTACAATATCTAGATCGGAAATTTTTTGCACATCTGTGTTTCACAACAAGATCTATCGTTTAAAAATATTTTCAATATGGCGGCACTTCCGGAAATACCGGAAGTTGACAGCAACTTTCTTATTTTAAATGGCTGTCCCCATTTTTTATTACATACTTAAAGTCTCTGTAAATTTTTATGAATTTTGATATTAAACACTCTATACCTAACATTAACCGTTTTTAAGAAAAAAATTATTAAACATTTTTTGACCAAAAAACTGCCTGTCAAAAATATGTCTATAGCCTAAACGTCAAAGTTAGTGATTACCACAGCCATGGTGCCATAAAGAGAAGACATGTGGCTATCTATATCAAAAATAAAATTGTTCGAATGTCATATAATAATGACAGCAGCTGTCATGGAATTGAGCTATTAAAAAATGATCATAAATCATTTTTTTCAAATTGAAAAATGCTTTTTTTATTTCACTAGTGAAAAGGTTTTTCAATTTGTTACTTTTTGACTATACATGTTCCTATACTTAAAATAAATTGTTTTTAAGTTATTTAAGATTTAGTTCTAAAGCGTATATTTTTTTTGATTTTAACCAGTAGCCTATGACTGTAAACGTCAAGCGATGTAAAGCAATAGATCTGACTATATCTATATATATTGTGTCATTTGTTCAAAAAGCAGTATGTTATCGATCATTATTTCCAAGCCAACTTTGCGCTGTTTTTTTTTTCGATCATACGGTATTTTTTAATAATATCAACTATGCAATTAGATATCACTAAAGAGCGAAAATACGAGATATATTTTTATAAATACACTTTTGAAACTCTTAAGCAGGCAGTATTTATAATATAGGAAATTCAAATAATTCACTTTCTGACAGATGGGAATAAATTTTCTGTCTGTTTAACACTTAATGCTAAAGGAAGCTAGATAAAATCAAGAAAAATATATGTTTTCAAACTAAATCTTAAATAACTTCAAAGCGATTTATTTTAGGTATAGGAATATGTATACTCAAAAAGTAAGGAAATGGAAAATCTTTTCACTAGTGAAATAAAAAAAGTGGGTTTCCATTTGAAAAAAAATGATTTATGATAATTTTTTAATCGCTCAATTCCATGACAGTTGCCGCCATTATTATATGACATTTGAACAATTTAATTTTTGAAATAGATAGCCACATGTCTTCTCTTTATGTCACAGTGGCTGTGGTAATCACTAAATTTGACTTTTAGGTTATACAAATTTTTTGACAGGTAGTTTTTTTCGTCCAAAAATTTTACATATTTTTTTTTTCAAAAACGGTTAATGTTAGGTATATAGCGTTTAATATCAATATTTATAGAATTTTACAGAGAATTTAAATATGTAATAAAAAATGGGGGCACCCATTCAAAATAAGAAAGTCGCTGTCAACTTCCGGTATTTCCGGAAGTGCCGCCATATTGACAATATTTTTAATCGATAGATCTCGTTGTAAAACAATGATGTGCAAAAAATCTCCGATCTAGATATTGCGGTTCTCTAGAAACTTCTAATGCACGCTCAGCATGGGACACCCTGTATATCGTTTGTTTTGGCACCAAATTCGTACTCTCCAAAAATTCGCTATCTTGTTAAAAATGCAGGTATGGCACCATGTCAATCTTAAAAATATTGGTTTCTGTCATCCAATTCGTTTTTTATCTTGATACCAATATAATTTATTTACTCGTCAATATAGTTTACATCAATCTTCGCATCATTGGACAATTGAATTATAGATCATATCAAATAAACTTTTAGTCACGTGATTAAGCTTGACCGGCACAGCGTTGCCCATTTTTACATATCTTCTTTTAATCAAAATATTTTTGGGAACAAAAATAAATTAATTATAAATATATAAACAGTTATTATTTACATAAAAAAAATCACCTCCTTAACAGCACTTGTGACATAACTACCGCTCTCCGGTTCAAAATATTCTAATACGGTTGCGATGAGTTTTTTGAGATGAGAACGGCTATTAAGCTATCTTGTACATTTCGCACTAAAAGAGGTTCTAAAAAGAACAATGATCGACTGCAAGGTCTGCTAGTAAAACTTTTTAAGCTTAAAGTATAACAACACAATGTATTTAAACCAAAAACTCGTAATACAAAATTAAAGTGTCAAAACGAATGACAATGTCAGAAAATAAATCTTGTCATTTTTTACAGCGGAGCTACCATATGAATTACCAGCGGGAAATTTAAATTCCAGAGTTAGTCAGCCCGGCGCCCATTATGTCCATGGTGGGCAAAAATGAATTTAAAAATAGCGCCCTCGATTACATAACTAAAAGTTTAATAATTGGTAGCGCTTATATACACGAAAATTGTCAAAATGATTAAACATCCTCCTCGTAGGAGGATGACGCAAAAGCAAACCAGATACTGGAAGTAACGAAGAATAAATATATAGCAACAGAAATTATGTAATTGACACATTGATGGGGAATGATTTAAATAAATGAACAATAGTCATAGAAAAATCACTATTTATATCAATTCATATGCGTCTTGATAAGTTTCTAATATAATTATTCATTATCTACTTCAATAAAACTTCCATTCACCCCATCCAGCCCATTAATACCCAGCCTGCTGACTTAAGTCCCATGCTCATAATGCGCTGATTAGGTTTGTCGATGCGGTTCATCAATGCGTCGATTTCATGCGCCAGAATATGTATTGATGCGATAGTTTGTGCGGAGGTTTGGCAAAATGTCGTTTTTTGGACTAACCATGAAAAGAAATATCACAAACACAAAGGTCGAATTTCCAAACGAACTAACAAATCGTATCGACGAACCGCATCGAAACATTGCATCAACGAACACATTGTGTCATACTCACTGTGTGCATGGTCACGTGGACGCATATGACTATTCAACAAATAAAATATTATTTAGCTTGTTTGAACTCATGAAAAAAGTTCTGGTAACTTAACATTTTATTCTGTATGGTGTAAATAATGAGCGTTATGAAAAACAAAACATGGCGAAGTTAAAATTTATTATTATAATCATACTAGAAACCTCATCATCTAAAGTATCCATAAAAAGTATTGATAAAAATGGATATGGATTACTATCTAAATAATACTAATATTAAATCATCTTCATTGAAAATATACTTCTTGGTTATCTTAAGATAAAAAAATACCTCTGTCAGTGATGAACATTTTCAGTTTGGATAAGATACCTATATTATTAGCTACATTAAAATTAATTTATTTATTAATAGAGAATAACTTTGCTTTAACATAATTTTAACGATTGTATTATAGTAAACACAAAAATTGAAAATATCCAGAGAATATCTTTAAAAGATGTATAGGTGGCATGGCATGCTATAATGTCAGACGTTAAAAATGCTAAACCCTAGACATATAAATCGATTTTACAAGCGACAGAATGTAAAAAAATTATTACACACACACGTGAGGATTTTTTACAGCGAATAATCCACAACATAACAACTTTAACCCCTAAATTAGTAATCAGTAAACATTAGCTTGCTCATTGTTACTTTTTTATTTATATGTGCGTTTGAAACGTATTGATCCACTTTTTTAATACAGGAAACATTTTATGTATAAATTTTTCACAAAACAAGTATAATTTGATCTGTATCTAGAAGGAAATAAAAATATCAACGTTATTGCCCTTTTCTGCAAATACTGTGAGCAAAAATTAATTAAATATTGATAACAAAATAAAGCACTAATTCACCGCAATACAGCAAAACACTTTACTTTTGCATTGGACGCGCGTTTCGCTAACCATGTTTGCATCATCGCAGATGATTAACACTAAACTAATATCTACAAATTGAGCGTTTATATACTCGGTCAGTTGGTATAGAGGCGTGGCACAACTAGCCAAGGGAGACGAAACCAACCGAGCATAATATTAATTACCAAACTAAAGTAACAAACTAGGAACAGAGAACTGGAAGGAATTGGACCTTTATCTCTGTTTATACTATCTTTACATTTATATTGGTATGGTCGGCTAAAAACCTATACCCAAGAAAATCACAATTAAAAAAAAATGTTAATACTGATCACAACCCAACATATTTCTGATTACAATCTTTACACGAAATTTCATAAATACTCGACCTTTCCAGTGGAGGTATTTTATCTTTAGGATTATCTAATAATAATTATTGTTTATTATTAGCACTATGCACAAGTTTATAATTGACATTTTTAAAAATTCTTTTTAAACCACTCTCTAAAACGGTATTGTCGTCTCTAAGTAGTAGTCGTCTCTAAACCGTATTAAAAAAATATTTTGACGTAACTTTCTTTATTCGACTTTTCAGAAATCGCAAACTTATACCTACGTTTTCTAATTATTTTATCGAATAATAAAGGAGAATATTCATTACACTCAGCTACATTCCTAATGTAATTTCTTTATATTTTAAATCTTTCTTAAACCAAACCAAACCAAACTAAAGTAACAAACTAGGAACAGAGAACTGGAAGGAATTGGACCTTTATCTCTGTTTATACTATCTTTACATTTATATTGGTATGGTCGGCTAAAAACCTATACCCAAGAAAATCACAATTAAAAAAAAATGTTAATACTGATCACAACCCAACATATTTCTGATTACAATCTTTACACGAAATTTCATAAATACCGGACCTTTCCAGTGGAGGTATTTTATCTTTAGGATTATCTAATAATAATTATTGTTTATTATTAGCACTATGCACAAG